CAACCAAGAAACAAGAACTTATTTGGCCGACGTTTCGGTGCTTTCACCTTCTTCAGAGCCTGGAAAAGTCGAAAGCCATTTAGGAAACTACCCGTCCAAACACTATTTCAACCTACAAGAATCATTCAACAGGGTGTAAACTACTAAAACGATGTCATGGAGAAGATGAGAACGAACCTTCAGAAATGCTAACCAGAGCATTCAGACATGTTGGACCTCTCTGGTCAGCATCTCTTAAGGTTCGTTCTCATTCTTTTCCATGACATCGCTTTAGTAAGTTTACTCCTGTTGAATGAATCTTGTAGGTTGAAATAGTGTTTGGACGGGTAGTTTCCTAAATAGCTTTCGACTTTTCCAGGCTCTGAAGAAGGTGAAAGCACCGAAACGTCGGCTAATAAAGTTATTACCAATCTTGGTTGGAAGCTCGGTTACTAAACTATCACACAAATGATGTTCTTCCACACGGGGGCGTGGCCAAAATTCGTTCGAGAGAGAACGGTGTTAGGCTCGTCAGCAACTTATCACCTTGCTATGAAGCCCTGTTTGCGCTCTAGTGCAGATCTTGCCAGCCTGCCTGCGTATTGAGGGCTAGCGGGGTACACAGCAAATTTCATGATACCTCCTCCCACCTTGGCACAATCCTGATTCCAGTTGCCAATTTTAGCACTTGCATAGGATCTCTCTCGTCTGGAAGGATGGGAGGCTCGAAATACGGCAATGGAGGGCAAAACCTCTCTGACAACACCTAACCGTTAACTCCGTTTCTTGATTTATTGGCTGGCTGAGAAATCATTAGCAACTTTCTTCCAACTCTAATTCATTCCAAAATAAACATATGATGGTGAGAGGTGCCGGTTCGATGGCAACCTGGAGCGAATGTTCTGCAGATATTTCATTTGTCCCCGTGATGACTATGAATAAAACAGGCAAGGGTCTTTCTTGTGCGGTGGACAGCGCTGTTAAGAGGCAAAGGGCGCCGCCCAACAAAACAGCACAGAGGCGAGCGATACCCAGACAACCCGTCGTTGTATGGCGAGCAGGTACTGCAGCGACCAGCTGCAGAAGATTATGCTCCTGGAGCTCTTGTCGCGTATTTTCAGACCTTAAGAATTGCGTAATCTACGTTTGTGGACAGCTCTATCCTAGTCATCGGAGAAATTTAATCATCCAGCTTAATCCTAGTCAGCGGGAGACAATTAATTATCAGTTAATGTGGGAGAAGGGTGCTTACGGTCATCATTATCCCTCATCGGTTCTCGCCAAATGCACTTTCAATGTAATCCGAATTGGGGCTGGGTCTTCTTCTCACCATCAGACTTTCTGAACTCTACCATTTCCTTATAATGCGGATAAGTTAGAGGCAATGACACGAGTCTGTGCTCAGCTGCTGGACCCTCAGCGCATTTTGGGCAACGTCATTGGGTCGGCTGGTGAATAATCCTCACCCCGCGCCTAGGGTACCACCCAGGAGGCCCGTCGCGCTGGCAAGAAGACAGAAGTCGTGCGAACGATGTTGCTTCACATTGGATTACCAAAACGTAGGATTACCTCTGGCGTTATCAGAGAGTTGATTGAGTAGTCCACTTTGTTCCATGGCTTTGGCATCAGCGTACTCGTCAAATATCACCTAAATATTTTATTTGCAGTACTTATTTCAGTGATATTTTGGAGCTGTGAGCCCAGAGTGCCAGTTATATGGTCATTCACCAATACATCAAAAGAATCTCCGGACAAGAACTAGCTCCAAGAAACGACATACCCCTCCCCTTTACAATGAGACAAGGCGTCTCAGCTTGGGCAGCTACTCTTTTAGATCTTTTTGTTATTTTCCTGACCAGTTTAGCTGACGCATGATACGAAGCGCAGGAAGGTTGCTTAGGAAGGATTCACTCGTAGGCTGATCTTGACCCGTGTCGCGCAATGATGCGGCTCAGTTTGCTGTTAGAAGTGAATTGGACAACCTTGTCGCCGGCATCTCCATCACATCACCCACTTATGATCAGACGCATGCCCCCGCCTACAGTGGGACGACGAGTTTCCCATGGCTCACATCTGCTCTTGTAAATCCTGGCTCATGGCTTTCCCTATTCCGGATTTGACTGCCCAGAAGGGGTGATTTTTCAGGCAGCAATTAACAAACTTATGGAGACACATGCAAACTTGTGGCGTACCTTCTTTAACAAACTTTGCATCACTTCTCAAATGGAACACTTCTTTCAAGCAGAATAAAACTCGTGTCGAGATGTCTGCCACACGGGTTGTCGCGATTGACACCGAAAAGACATGATCTTTGATTTGGTTGCAGTGAAAGTGTGATAAAAATGAGTACAAAAAACAATTACCCTTTTCAGCCGAGATGATTAAAGAATAGCTGCGACAGCTTTGCGGCCCATGATTCGTTGTTCTCAACGAAACTCGAGCCAGTGTCTTATAGATTGATTTGTCGGCAAATGCATTCGACGAGGCCATGTAGCCAACTACGGGAATGTTCCAGAAAGTTGCCATTTTCGCAACTGCATCCAATTGCTGAATGCATTGTCTTCAATAGTCCGGAAATAAATGCTAGCATAGCAAAATGCTATCAATACGATAAGTCTGGTGAGCAGGGTGAAAATCGGTCCACGATTCGTCGACGGTTCGCCGAGGATTTTCACCTGTTGACTCACGCCCTCCACTGACACTCACTCTCTTCATGCGCGAGCCGTCTGTGCTTTCGCTTACATTCACTCTCGAACATATTCTCGATACACGAGTACAGCGTCAAGGAGAAAATTTTTCCTCACAAGTATTCTTCAGAGTATGACAGCCCGGTCCTTCAAACAGCGAAATACTGTTGGGACAATCATCGGTTATTGGATCGGATTAGAGGTCGGTTCTGCTACGCGGTAACGGGTACATCGGGTTATTAGAGGAGGAAAGTCAAGATAAGAACTAAATTCAAAGAACGGGGAAGCATCACTGCTCCCGTCGTCCAGCATTCATTTTATTGAAATCCATAAATTCCTCAAAGGGTTCCCTATCTATCACTTGCAACGCCTTCGCCGTACCTCTCCTGCTACAGCCGACGTAAGCAAACCAGCCCTTTTGGCGCTTCGGCTGGGACCGTATGCTGAATGTTGGGGAGGGGATGGAGTCCCCGACGGTGGACGGACCACTTCAACTCGGTCCTTAGAACCGCCACAATTTGGTGCTTACCTCAGAACTAAGCCTTAAAGAGAGGACGGGTCCGTCCCCTCTCCAAGGCTTAGTCCTGGGGTGAGCAAACCAGCCCTTCTGGCGGAGCTGCTGGACCAGCTGCACCACTTGCGTCAGTACTCTCCTATCGTACCAACCGAGTTGAAGTAAACCGTCGACCGTTGGGGACCCCATCCCCTCCCCAACATTCAGCATACGGTCCCAGCCGAAACGCCAAAAGGGCTGGTTTGCTTACCTCCACAGTTCTGCTTACGGCATTGAGGTGACGCATGCAAGAAGGTGCACCGTCGATAGAGTCAGCTATGGATTATCAATGAAGATTGCGAGGCAGGAGATGGGCAAGTGTTCGCGGTTAAAGCGTGAAACGCTACTCTCATTGAAAGAACCAAAACTCAAAGGTAGAAAGGTGGTGCAATGCAACAGAAAAAATTATTTAAGTGTAAAATTTATGCGCCTCGCGCTGTCGTCACGTGTTAATTAGTCTTGAAAATGATTTTTCAGGATCAATGAAACACTTCGACGCTCGACCTTGACGGTTCCCGACAAGCCGACGCCGAGCATTGGGGTGGCTCTGTAAGCTCTTTCGTTACCTCGTTCAGGTTGTATCAGAGCTGTTTTACTACTTGACTTTATTTATTATCTGCTTGGCAATTATTTTACGCTTCAGTAAGAAGTCTCGCGGAAACGCCGCTGCAACACTTAGCGGTGAAAGGTCAAGAATGACTGGTCGACTTACCAGCATTGCAGTAAGGTCCTATGAAGGCGCGAACCTTCTGCACGTGGTACATATCCGCACCGACGGCCACACCTTCGAAACGCTTCACCGCAGCCCATTTGATTGATGATTCTGAATAGAAGATATTTGTTACATTTAAATTTGGAGATTAGTTGCTTATATAAGCGATCGTTCACTTTTGGGTGGTCACTGAATTTCTTCAAGGCTTTTCGAGCTAATAAGGGAAGAGCAACTCTTCGTTTCTCCTCCTTTATCTCAGTTTTTTTTTCATTCCCTTTTTCATTTTCTCAGTTTTTTCTGTGAAACTGTTGACATAGATTATTGCATCAATGAAATAAGAGAGTTCAAAAGGCTTTCAAGCAAATGACAGGCATACTGATGCTCTTACACGGATCTGTCCAATATCCATGTGAAGGCCATATCCTGCTGCACTTGAGGATTTCGATGATGTGACTCAAACACTCTGAGAACTCTGTGGGATTTGTCTTTCTGACGGGGACGCTTGCTGGCGGAACTATGAGAGAGTGTGATGGTGACATCGTTCCATCTCAGCACTGCAAATCTCAAGCCATCTGAGAACAAGGCCTCATCAGAGGTTTTCTTCTCATAAAGCATTTATGTTTGCTTGAGAAGCAAGGAACTGAGAAGAATATTTTTCGAATTTACACAATTAGAAAAAATCAGCTTTTTCAGCGAAAAGCGGTGGTCCACATCCGAGGTGAGCAGCATTGGTAAATTGTACTGCGAATAAAGTCACATGCAACTAAATGCTCAAAAGACTCACTCAATATCGAAGTCGTCGTCCAGCACGCCGTCTTTCCAAAGCTCTTTTCTGGAGATTTCAAGAATTTTCTCGCCATTTTTCATATAACCCACCGCTCCGATATGTCCAACACGTACCTAAAAGCGATCACAATATCATCAGCAAACTGTAAATTAATTATAGGTGGATGACACTCTTCTTCATCAGAATTTTTATTTAATTCTATCATTTTTCATATTTATCAAAAGCGCCTCCATTAGGGGAGAGAGAAAGGGGGTTGGTAATGGAATGGTGAAATGGGCATTGTTCT